CTTCCTCTTCTTTTTGCTTTAATATATTATATTAATTATAGTTTTGAGGAAAAGTCGACATAGTTAAGATTACTCATAAGTGGCAGGCCATACTTAATTACATAAATTAAAAATTAACACCTAAAATAGACATTAACAATCATAATCTACGAGAAAGTAAGAAAAGATAAATAAAATAAATGAAATAAAAAATAAAAATAACATACAATAAATGATTTCACTTACTCTGGTTGCAAGCCTTTCCGGTGAATCCGAAGTGGCATTGACATCGAAAGCCTTTTTCTCCAAATCCATTCTGACAGTAGCTATGAGGTGGACATTGGGCCTTCGAACATTTGTTCGCCTAAATAAGAAAAGATAGAGATCTGTCAGAACTGAACGGTCAAGCTCCCTGAGAGAGGCAGTCAGAAGATAATACCGTCCCTCCCTTAGCAAGTGGTATTTTGTCGTTCGGACGCGGTTCCTAAGCTCGAATGTATTCAAACAGGTTGCAAACGGATGATGGTGAATCGAAGAGGTCAAATGAGCAATTATCGTGCAGTTGCTATGGATTTTGGAGCCAATGACCGAGATAAAGGAGCACACATGTTGCTCATGGTTTAGATGATCTCAATTTGCACAGTTTTGTTCATTATTGGAGGAATTATTGTGCTTTGATACACAGAATCGAAGATGGCACATCGGCCCTCAAGCCAGCCTCTAGTTGTAATCAGTGGATGCTGCCCCGAGTGCAAAACGCAGAAAAATGCTGCCTCATTAACCAAGCCAGGACTCACTAGAAGATATCACTACAGCTAAAGGTATGCGAGCTTTGCTCCGTAGTATTTAAAATTTTAATTTAATTTTAGCCTAAATATTTAGTCCTCTATTAATAATCGTTGAAGGTTAGGATGAAGCGGCTCATGAAAGGGTCGAATTCGATGCAAAACAGTAAATTTCAATGGAAATTAAACAAGGGCAAATGGGCAGACAACGATATAACAGCATAAAATATTTATTTGGAAGTTCTACAAAAGATATATTTTGACTCCTCTTCAGTCGAGTTCAGTCAACTACAGGTCCAATCCACTTTCGCCGATCCATTATCCGTATCGTATTGTTATTGTCATACACATAAATACAGTTACGTCTCGGCTGTCTGTACTTTGACACGTTGATGATAGCTGAAGCACCACAATTTTTCTTTCGCCCATCTAAGAGAACTCAAGACAATCTTGAATTCTGGATTCCACGCGGTGGATTACGGATTCTTTGTCAGTGGAACTTGCATTTCAGATTCCAGTCGTTAGTGGGACTCGGATTCTTTGATCCTTCTTACGGATTCCAAAGCCCAGGGTTCCGGATTTGTACAGATAATAGCATGATTTGTTGTGATATTTGGCATAAACACCACGAGTGATATTTCGCAATTGTTGTACGTAATTTCACGAGCCGTTAGGCGAGTGAAATTTGAGACAATTTTGAGATGTCACGAGTGGTACGTATGCTAAATATCAAGTACAAACTAGTAATAGTTGACATAACAGCTGCCCCCGTTCTGTATATTGTCGGTCAATAGTATTCTTTCTCGTTGTGAAGCTCTTTGAAATATACCAATTCATAATGAAGATTTTCATACAATAGGTGAGATAAATACAGGAAACGCAAGGTTCCATGCACAGTTTCAGCTCGATTTACACAGCTTTGATCAAAACATCCTCAGTTTTGAGAATAGTTTATTCTAAACCATAAGAAAATATTTAATTAGAAGTTGAATTTTCCGGTATTTCTCTTTCTCTTTTTACATTCAGTTCATTTTAGTTGCCGGAAAGTAAGCCTTACAAATGAAAAGAACGTTTGATCGATTCACGCTCGCGCATTCTAGTCTTATTTGAAACTTTATAACGGAAAGAAATCTGTGAGGAGGGAAAAAGTCAGCGCAGAAATTGATTGTCGGCGAATTTCTGTAATCGTCCATCGTTCTGCTAGTGATAAGCTAACCGTTGTTCACTAGTCTTGCTTGTTTGGGGCTGAGTCTTATTCCGGTCAAAGAGAGAGAAAGAGTGTCTGGCGAGGTTTCCAATATAAATGAAAGATTTGTGAACTCGTGTCTGGCAAACTCTCCAAGTGTTTATATATACACAGTTAAACGCACCTTATAACCTCATCTGCGCTTAACGAGTGTCTTTTGGTCCATAACTTTCAAAACAAAACTGCTCCAAAGAATGTCACTGCGTAACGCAAAAGAGTATCGAAGTATGACTACACAATAAATGTCACAAAATCTACCTGAGCGGTCCTGTCTTTACGTCATCCTAACCATTTCGTACTTGCGGGCGCAAAAAATAGAAACGTCGTCATTACCTACCGATTCCTCGCGGCCCCTGTTCAAGCAAATCGAGATTTTTTCTATATTAACTGTATGACTGTATATTTCAACTGTAAGTACTTTCCTTAATCTACGCGCGAGTTACTAGAGTGCCTCCGCGGGATTTCGCCTTCTGGCCGAAATCCCTGCGGGGGCAATCACGCTATCATTTGTTTATACTGCCACCCGCAATAGTTTTGTAATTTTCACAGGTAGGTATTTCAAATTAAGCTGAAATACCACTGCTCTAAGCCAATCAAATTGCAGAAATTTCTCATGTAGTAGTATAACACAAGAAAAATTACGTGGATTCCAGTTTCCACGAAAGAAAAATTTCCTGGAATCCGGATACCCTTTCATGGGGCAATGCACTTTGCCCTGACTCAGTTTGACACATAAGCTTCTTTTTGCAGGAAAACTATACCACATCGACTACTTTTCCGTTCTCTTTATCGCATGCGGTATTTTCCGTTTCAAAAAATTACATCGATATCAACTGACACATGTTGGACTAAAAGTGATCGAAATGGTTTATCTACGGCTTGCTTGCTTGTCTTTACTTGAGGAGAATTTAAGGTCTCTCGCTTTTCCAAGAATAGCCTGCGAATAGAGCTGTCTCTCCTCGCTCCGTTGCAGCGAAACGTCTTTAGCTAAGAGGAGCGATGAAAGACAGCTCTGTTCGTAGGTTATCGCCCTACCGTTTGTTAGAGTCTATGTTTGAGGACATCCACTGTGACGTGATGACAGGCTAGGGTAAAGGTGAATGCGGTTTGGCGCACAGGTTTACGCCCCTACTATTCGAACGTGTGGCTACTTTTTCTTCGTTTCATTATCGAAGAAGAAACTGATTATCGCTTTATGTAAGGGAATCGAAGACAGTCTTGTATTCTGGTTTCGAGGCCTTGAATTCCAGATTCCAGGAACTGGGTTCCAGTCTTTGTCAGTGAAACTTGGATTCTGGATTCCAGTCTTTAGTGGAATTCCGGATTCTTTGACCTGTATTCCGGATTCCACAAGCAAAATTTTCCCGGACTCTGGAACCAACATTCCCTTACCTAGTGCGATGAACAGCTGGCAGAACAAGTGGAACAAATAGAAATTTAACTGGATCTTTGCTACTGAGACGCCTTTGAATAACAAGAAGCACAACAAATCAGTAGAAATATATTTTACCTTGCTTGCACCATATATGAAACCATTCATTAGCTGTAGATCTTCTGGGTGTTGCCTGTGATCTGAATCGCTCAATTCACAAAAGTTCTTGTTTTTGACGAAGTTGTAGGAGATGCAGTTGTTCTCTAGGTAGCAGTTTAACCTACAGAGTTCTTCGTCTTCAACAAAAATTGCCTTGAAGACATGGCCTCTAAGAGCACGGTCCTTTAAATGATGGTTGAACTCAGTTTTTCTGCACATTTCTGAAAACAAAACATGAAACTTTCTAAAGTCGGGGCATAAAATACTCAACTGGAAGTCTTAGCCTGCGTAGCTGGTGGAATGGTCATGCGCCGGGCATTTTCTTTCTGCGCGGGGTACTCTCTTAGCTCGCGCGTCCTAACGTGGCTCTCTTTGCTTGCCCCATAGAAGAGCTCGCTCGCCACATAGGAGAGCTTGCTCGCAGGCTGGGTGGCGGAGACAAACTTCTCGCGGTTCAGCCACCAACAAACAAACGGAAAAAAAAAACAAAACAAAAAAACAGCAACAACAACATTCAGCCGCTAATCCCGTCAGCTACGCAGGCTTTGAATAGTACTTTATTCTCAGCGTTCTCTCTCTCACGCTGTATTGAGATTGGGCACCGAAAGTCTCTTTGGTTGAAAGAGTGCGTAAAAGTCCCTTAATCACTATACCACCAGGCATTCCCATTCTCAGCATACCCAAACTCAAAGCACCCCATTCTAAAACTCCAAAAATGTGTCAACGGGACTAAGTATTAACGTTAGGAGTGGGTGGGAAAGCGGACACAAAGTTTTTTAGACGGTTAAGTTCCATGTAGTTCTCCACCAGTGCTGATGTAGCGGAAGAATCTGCGGATAACAAATGAGAGGGATTGCCTACACGAAGCACCTCTGCTAGTTTCATGTAGTAAAGAGTGGTTTCTTTGTTATTCCATCCAACATGAGACATTATATCCGCCAACTTGGAGCCAGATAAAGCCAAAGTTATAGCTGAGCCTGAACGGCAGCTGTGTAGCGTTTTTCCTTCGTAGATCTGAGCCTCTTTCAAATACAGCTTCAAACGCTAATATGCTGTTGAGCTTGCCAATGGTTTGTTGACAATATGACCTTGTGGGTTTGTTGGTCGAAGTAAGTAGCAGTTTGTCACGGAAGTCCGTAACTCAGAAGCTACGGCGACATATGTCTCAATCGCTTTAACTGGACACAACTCAGGGTTAAGATGTCCCCGAATCCCGAAAACGTTAGCCGGAACAAACGCTCGCACAGCGAAAGGTAGGACCTAAAGAAATCAAAAGAAAAGGAGAGAATCATAATAATTATAAATGCGATTATAAAATAACTGTCAACCGACATTATAGTCAAAAATGATTTATTCAACAACAATCGTTTCAATGGTTTACATAACCAGAAATTATGAATCGGACAGAAGAGGCATATCCAAAAACAGTTAAATGTCCTTTGCTCGCCCAGTGCACTAGCTACTCCTGTCCAATGCGGAAAATCCAGAGATCCCAAGGAATAGGCCAATGGTTTGAAAACCCATTTCTGGAGGGCGTAAGGAGAGCTCCAGCGGTTCCGCAAAGGCTAACAGGTGTCGCGCCGAAGGAACATGTAGACGTTAACAAGGGCCACCAAAAACGCCTTGGGAATACGTCAGGAATCACGATGGTATAGGATAGTTGCAAGCTTCGCAGATACTGGATAACGTGAGGTATAAGGCAGATCGGTGGAAACACGTAAGGGTTCTTAAATATGGACACATCATAAAGATCAGGTGACTGCACGAATACGTTTATTCCCAGGGATCCAGGCAGAAGAGTCTCAGAGAATAACGGTAACTGAGCACCTGACAAGTCGGATTGAGCGTTTGAGGGACGCGCCATTAAGTCGTCAGAGTGTCCATCCTCGCCGCCATACAATTCTTGTGCGACTACCCATAAGGATGGGCATAATTTAGCGTCCTGCAGGGTAAGGCTTCGTGAGGGGGGATCGGCTTGGTTCTGAAAACTAGGCACAAACGTAAGGTGCAAATCGATATTCAGCTTTGTCATCGTGCGAAATAGTTTCTTCAAGGCGTCTGAAAGCGTGTGAGAACGAGAGCCCTTCCGGGTCCATGAACGGACCAGAACCGTGCTGTCGACGAAGGCGTCGACCCATGAGTTTTTAATGGAATCCGCGAATGACTCAAGGACTTTGTTTAGAGCCAAGGTCTCTTTTGTAGCGATATCGGCCAGTATTGCCGATCGAGGCATCCCAGTAATCATAGACGTTCACCTCAATAGCATTTGGGCTTAGAGCACCTCCCCAAGCAAAGTGAGATAAGTCGGAGAACAGCTTGACATGTGTGTGCTTTTCAGACCGCCAGGGAAGAAAGCCGTCCCAAGACTCAAGAAAGAGCCAGTGTTCAATTTATTTCTTCAGAGCTGGAGACATTTTCAACGGCCGCGAAGAGCGAGTGGCCCCAGAGACAGCAAGGTTAATTTCGTTAACATAAAGCCTCGCGCCTGGAACTGTCAGACTCATGGACATGCATTTACCGCTGAGCCTCTGCAGAGTTAATAGATCTAAGCAATGGCGAGGCAAAATTTCTTTGACGAGTCGAACAAACTTTTCCTTTTTATGTGGCAACAAAATAAACGCCTGTCGTTCTGAATCGACAATGAACCCAAGGTATGGCACCTGCTTTTGAGGGGTGAGTACAGACTTTGCCAGGCCGATGAAGTAGCCAAGGGAAGTTAAGACGTAGCACGTGAGAAAAGTACCCGCGCGGGCCAGAGCGAAATTCACTTCATCGTTGTGCGAGGGCTCGATGGGCGGATGGCAAGGAGCCAGCTGGAAATGTCAGTTGGCCATTATGGCGATCGTCAATGTACAACGAAGAAGGAATGTTCCAGGGATACAATCACTCAGAAAGTACCAGCCTGCCTATTAGAAACCAAAGTAGGTTCGACAGCTGGGGTGAAGTTTTATGTGATCGTATCCTGACTTGTCGTCACACACTGTCTGGTAAAAGCCTTTATGAACATACTTAGGCAAATGTTGGACACTATAGAGGGACATTGGACGGTCTTCAATCCAAAAATTAAGAAATCTGTCAGCGTTACTGAGACGCGGTTTGCTGGGCTCTACAGTAAGGGGTAAAACGAGGTGAGGTGGGGTGCATTCTCCGACTTTACCCTACAGGGAAAGAGCCCCAGAACGCAAACGGTCCATGAGCGTATTAGATATAAACGAGGTAAACGGTTTGCATGAAATGTGATTGGGGAGAACACAACGCGGTGGAGTACTGCACTCGTAATTCTTTCCTTTGTTACTACCTTTAAACGGTCTAAAAAAAACTTGGTTACATCCACACCGTTAGTAATCCAATCAAGGACTTCGGAAAAGCGATCGTCGTTCAGATCATCTATTAACGAAAGCCATTGAGGTGTATGGCGATGAAGTTGCCCTGCCCGAAATTGATTTGGATCACGGAAAACAAGATGTGACATATCTGCTAATGACTTTTCTTGTAACACTAGGGCGATGTCCTCAACAGGGATATGGGCATTGTTTGCCATCCCCTGGGCCCCAACAATAACAGATCCATTGATGTCTATCCACTGCAATTCATTCGTAGTAACTGTTTCCGGCTTGAAACTAGGTCATTTTTCCCAGTCATGAAAGAAAGGGGTTCGCAAAATAGGATGAAAAGAAAAGAAAAAAAAAAGTGGAAGTTATAACGGCCCAAGGGATGGCAAACTTAGCCCCGGTATATCCGAAAGGGAAAGTGAGCTTCCCTTTGAGAATGCCACCCGAGGGGGAGAAGCGGGAAATAGAAATGGAAAATTCTCCGACTGCAATTAATAAAGCTACCCAATATGTTGGCAAAATTAAACCCTATACCACCACAATAAGAAGACTCGTAAGTTAAGCTAACCTAGGAGAAAGGGGGAATACAAAACGAAAACACACATTGTAATGATGTTTGTTTGACTTCAATAGCATCAAAACTCAAATACTGAGAGGCCGGTCGGGGTGATTGTAACCTGGGTGGCCAGGAGAAAAGCTGCGGGCCGCCAGAACTCTCTTCCAACATTGTGTAGACTTGTGGCCGGGGGTTCCGCACCTATAGCACGTTACCCGTGTGTAAGGGGAAGACCTCAGTTGCCTCTGGCCTGTGTACGAAAGTATGGCGTAGGACGTCTAAACGTCTTCTCAACTTTAGCGATGGTATTAAAGATCCTTGTATACTCCTTATCTGCCAGGAGAGCCAGGAAGTAAGCCTTAAATTGCTCTTTCGGGACATGAATTTTCTCTCTGAGGGTGGTTGCGATGACGTCATATATAACTGGCCGCTTTGGTGTCGCTGGTAGTCTTCGCCACAGAAACGAGTTAAAATAAATGGTAACAGTATCCATAAAAGTAGAAAGCGACTTGACTTTGAAGCAGGACGCAATAGAAGCTGCACACGAGTTAAAATCGTCCAGAAAACAACCAAGCGAACGTAATAAACCGGGCATAATATAAACTGGAGAGTCTGGCTAAAATTTCCGACAAAGATAAATGCTATAGGCTTAAGCAGGTCATAATATGTTATAGAACAACTATTAGCAGGGCATACAATAACTGGAAAGTCGAGCCAAAATGAATATGGGCAAATTTCGTGATAAAGCCCCTTAAAAACCGCCCGCAACTCAAAGACAAACGTTGCCAACGGCACTTACCCGCCAAACTAGAAAGTTACACGTTCTAAAGAAGGACAAAACAGGAGTTGCCCGCAAAACTACACACCACCAACAGCGCACAAAATAACTGGAAAATCAATTCAAAATTTCCCGGAAAGCCAGAAAGCTACACACTTAAAAGCAGGGAATAATATAAATTGTAAACGAACTCAAAATTGCCCGCAAACTACACATTATCAGCAGAGCATAAAATAACTGAAAAAATAAAAATAAAATAACTGATCAATAAAGGATTGCCCGCAAAGCCAGAAAGCTACACGTTTTAAAGTAGGGCGCAACATCAACTGTAAACAAACTTTAAATTGCCCGCAAAACAACACGTTATCAGCAGGGCACAAAATACTTGGAAAGCCAATAAAGCATTGCCCGCAAAGCTAGGAAGCTAAACGTTTTAAAGCAGGGCTCGACTAAACAAACTTTAAATTGCCCGCAAAGATTACACGTTAGCAGCAGGGCATATTAAAATGGAAATGAACAGTGACTAAAGTAGAATAAGATTGTGAAGCAGGGCATAACACCAGCTGGAAATAGCCTTGAATTGCCCTCAAAACTACACGTTGTATAATCCGTTTTGAGGCAGGGTAGAAAGTGGAATGCACAATTCAACATTGGCCGCTAAAGAAATAAGGCGAGTATATGAACGGCAAAAAATAAACCTGAGAGGAAATTTAACTTCGTCCGCAAAACAGTTACTATAAAACTATACGTTACGAAGCAGGGCATCACAACACGAGATGAAAATGAACTAAAAGCGGCGATGATGACAACACGTGTTGCGAAGCAAAACAGAGTTAAGACAAAAAATTAAACAGAGATGTAGAGTGACCTCTTCTGCCGCGGCGTTTTGTGGATTAGCAGGCGGTTCCTCCGGGTTCTGTGGGGGTGGAAGCGGTGGCTGGTTTAAAACTGCTGCTGCTTGATCCGCGTGAAGGTTTTGGTCTGGCATTTTAACTAGACCGCTTCGCAAGATCGATAGAATGGCATTATTTATTCCGTCTCATCTCCTTTTATACGTGAGAGGTGAGACCGCTAAGAATTGTTTAAAGTCTACCTCACTCATTTAACTAATGAAACACTAAAACCCCCAAATGGCGCACTTAAAAAATTTGTAAAGAATTAAGGGTTATTAGTACATCGAAACGTGCTCCAGCGCAATTTAATCCTTATCAGTTGTAAACTAAGATAACAGTGTAACAAACAGAGATGATTTGAAGAACTATGACTGACTTTTTTTTGTTTTACTTCAATCGCTGGCCATCTGTCTATGCCCCTTTTTTTCTAACTAATTTCCTGTACTTGTAATTTGCTATCTAGTCATTTTCTTTTTCGAAATACAAAAGTTTACCTTCATTTCCATAGGCGCAGGTAGAGAAATACGCGATTCCTACGACAGCCAGAAAATGTACCATTACGAAAATCGCCAGCCTCGCCCTGTTTCTATTCGGTTATGTTAAGCAAGGATAAAAACTACAGTATGTGATTTCTTCGTCAACAACCTGGCTTTTAATTCGTTACTTTTACACCTTAATACGTACAACTCGCACCTTAAGTTAATGATTCATTTGATTATAACGAGCGCAGTATTGCTGTATTGAACTGGAAATTGGTAGTTGTTAATTATTAACTTCAAAATGTATATTGCAGTAGTAATTGACAGTCTCTAAATGTAAAGTGCCATCCTATTACGCTCATTTAACATTGACATGTAGATGGGCAATGAGTTGTATGAGACATTATCATTTGTCAGGGAAATCTGGCTCGCATTTAAACATCATGTCGTATTCTTATATAATTTGATGGCTAGGAGCAAACGGTCCTACCCACCATGATTTAAATCAAATGTCATTATTTATTAAAAAGCAGTGGATGGAATTAGTTTTCAGTATTTACCTTGAATCCCTGCGGCTGCTATTTATCTCAGTTTTACATGTCTAACTTTTTTCATTGCAATTATTCATACACTTAAGTACAACCAAAAAAAAATAAATAAAGTGTCAAGCATCCTCCGCGGTATTGCTGATTGACATCACTTTTTAATGTTAGATATATATATATATATATATATATATATATATATATATTGGGACTTTAAATGAATCGATAACATCATCGCCTGTTAAACCTCCTCGCGTTTCTTTTGGGAAAATCCAAGTGTAATTTCTTTAAATCTCGTATTAAGATTTCTCGGATTAGGTAGCGCGAAAAAACGAAAGATCTGGATTCTTTAGCGTTACAGCAAGTTTGTCGCCAACCGGCTGCAAGAACGAAATGACCTTCGGCAGATACTAGACATATTAGGCCGATTTAGCAACAGGACGGGAACGTCAGTTGACGACGGGAAAGCGCGCGGAAAGGACTAAACACGACTTCCGGTGCTCAATTTGCAATCTGCCATTGGTCAAGCCAGTTGTTTGATTTGCGCGCGCCGTCGTCAACTGACGTTCACGTTCTGTTGCTAAATCAGCCTATTGCAAACATTGGTAACGGCCGCGCGCACATATCTAAATACCACGGACCAGACTGAGCACCAGAATTCATGTTTGGTCTCTTCCGCGTACTTTTGCGTTCTCATTGCGTTGCGTTGTCTTAGCTAAACTTAATTAGAAAACCGTTTCTCATTGGGCTTTAGCAAACTCGTTCGGCAGAAAAGGGATGTCCCATGAATTTTTTTTTTTTTTTCAAAATCCGATTCGGCTCTGCCTCCAATGAATCCACTCTGAGAAGAGATTATTGAGATTCATAATCTGAAATTTAAGATTTGCCAGGTGTACCTGGATTTCCCTAAAACGCATCTTGAGAGGCGGACCAGTAAAGGAGGACAGGCTTCTGTGGCGTATATTTGTTAGTTTTATCGTTAGGTTAACTGCAGTTACAAAATAATCTATTTTGAACGTGAATGAGCGTGAAGTCCTCTTGCAAGTAATTTTTTTTGCTAGTTATACCAGCCATACACGTCAACACAGCTTTTGCCTTCATTGTTTTCCTCGCTACAATCAGCAATGTCCTGTCCAAACCAGATCCAGAACTGCTGATCGTGTGACACGCGTAATGGTTCAGAGGTCGTATCGAATATGATTTCAGGCGAAGTGTCATTGACACCACTGATCTTGTAGGTATATATTTCGTGCTGGCATTTTCCATCTGATCGCCATGGACCTCCCACTTCGACTTGGGCTTTCCTTGGTAGAATTTCTCTTCGTTCGTTGGCGTGTGAAATATATGTCATCAGTGTCTTGTCACCATAAAGTTCACTTTGACAACCCCAAAAAGAGGGAGGACTTCCATTAAAGCAAACGAGTGTGCCAAAGAGATGAGTCAGCTTCAAACCCAAAATTTCGCCAGCTTGAATGATATTGAAGCTGCCGTATTTGTCATCTCGTGTTCCAAAACACACCGGCATGGTGTTCACCTTGATCCACGATACTGTAAAATATATCAATTTAACTATTGATTAATTATGAGTTGACCTTTTTATGATTTAAATGTAAATTGGAACTGACTTCGGGAGCTGAAATCTTCTGTTATAAAGAAAAGAAAATTTGAGCCCCGAAATGCGTAGGGGAATGATTTTACGAGGCAGTTTGAAACTTTCAAAATTTACAACTGAATTTTTATCAAATAATAAGTATATGAATTTTATATGTTGGAATGAAGAATTAAATGAAAAGAATATCTTCGCAGTTAAAAATACATCTAAAGACGCAACTGGCTGTCATAGAAAACAATTCAACCGCATCACTGGGTGGCAAGAATTGCTTTTCCCACTCCGCAAAATGCGTTTTGGTGGCCGTTTTAAAGTGACTAGCAAAATAGTTTTTCCGTGTTAACAGAACGTTGATAAGGCAATAAACTATTGCAAAAAGCCAAGTAAGGCCATAGCTTCTACTGTACACTGTAGCTCCAATGTTATGTACCATAGTACTTGTGTATATATATATTTTTTCATCATCTTGCAGAGCACATCACAATAAGTACCATAGCACATAAACATAATCACTAGGGGAAGGTTGCTTCCCTCGTAGGGGACGGTTGGGGTAACCTTTTGGCTGTCGTTTGGTCATGAAGAGCTCAGTATCATTTTTTTTCTTTTTTCCAATCATGTCCTTAACATTAATCGTCAGATTCCTTGAGAAACGTATCTTTTGGAGGTGGGAAGAGGCAAACGTAACAAACATTTTATTTTGATATACCTTCATCGCAATACTTTCCTACAAAGCCGTGGTCACATTTGCAGTAGTAGGTGTTATCTTTGGGTTCAATCTTGCACTTGCCATGTTGGGAGCAATGATTCTTAGCGCAGGCATTCTGCAGAAATGTAATATTAGTGGGAGAAAGTCCTCTCAGTAATTTAAGTTTGTGAGAAGACGCCCAAATCAAGAAAAGTAAGCTTAGAGTAATCTAAATGATCAGAGAACCAATTTTCTTCAGAAGCTAGGCAAATTTTGTTGAAACGTGTAAAAAAAAAACGGTCGACATCTTTACAAGATAATGGTTTCATAAAGTATAATTCAGTTTATATGTAATTCTTTTTTTCAGTAAGATACGTTTTGCTATTTCTTCTTTTAGAGTTCATCATAAGGTATTGAGACTCAACCTCAATGACTCAATCGGTTAACTTATTTTCTTCAAGAATTACAAGCAAGCGAACCCACTACCCAATTGTGAATAAGGGAAATAGAGTCAAAGAGAACACGTGCCCTAACGATCCCTTTTAAATTTTCTCAAAGGTCCCTTAGACACCTAGCTTTTTCTAGCTGCATTCCTTAGCGCTCTTTACTATAGAAGCAACTTTGAGCCGGCACTGGACGTTGCTGGCCCTGAATCACCAGCCAATAGCGGGGGTTCGTCTGCAAAGACAGCCACTAATTCAGACCAATTTAACAAAGAATAGTGTGTCTTAGGCCATTTGTAATCAAAATCACTGTTTTTTTCGGTTGGCGTGCGAAGGCAGCTAATTTTAAGACAGTTTAATGTACCTTGGTTCCTCTGTAAATATAACCCCTTCTCTTTTTCAGGTCACCAGGATGTTGCATGTGGTCAGAGTCGCTTAATTGGCAAACGAAATCTCCATCGGGATCGTGTCGGCCAAAGTTGTAAGACAAGCAGTTGTTGTCAAGGTAACATGCTACTCGGCACGCGTCTTGTCCGTGAAGATGAATAGTCTTGAACACGTGATTAATGAGGGCGTGTTCGTCCTGCGGCTCAGTGAACTCAAGTATTCTACAGACGCCTTCATAAAAATATACCAAAAATTTAAATTAATTTTATTGAATAAGATTAATGTAGAAAAAAGTTATTTTTTTAATAATAAATTTCATAATAAATACAGGTGAATATACAGTACAAATTTCTTTTGCTTTTAATACCTTTTGACGTTAGTTCATACAAGCACACCGGTAAATACCGGTAAGTTGGTACAAGAATCGGAAGAGTCTCCCTTAGTTTTTTGCTGACTTATAATATCGCAAATACTGAACACTTTCTAGGTGACCACTGACGATCTCTACAGAATGGCAGAAGTATAATCGTGGGATAATGCACTTTTGGTGGGAAGGTGCGGGTAAGTTGCCAACTTGGCCGCTATCTGAGAAAACTCAGATTTGTGCGATTAAGGATGAGACTAAACATTTTCGTACTTTAGGTTAAAACGCATGTAAAGTTATAACGAAACATTTTGATTTTGGCGGGAGGATGAACACATTTTTAATTTTCCATATAACTAGCTTTACATCAGATCGCTAAAAACGTCACATATCGTCGCCGTAGCAACCGGAGAAGCTTACAAGGACTGCCCCCTTTATTTGGCTGTCAAAGTTATTGCTGAAACAATTTATACATGACATTTTTCATATTCTGATTGCAGGGAAGCCATTAACTATTGACGAATTTACTAAGTTATGTATGTTTTTAAATGTATTCAGTATCCAAGCTACAAAGAATCACACACGAAAGTTAAAAAAGGCCTGCAGTGATGTATTTTATAGGTTTTCAAAGATTTGTGAAACGTACGGTTGCACGGACCATTATTTATCAGTAGAGGAAGAAATTTGAAGAAGAACTGAAGAAATTGTCAAATTTGCTATCAACTTACATTGCAGGTAAGTCTTTTTTATTCAAATCATTTAAGAAAAAGTAAAGTTTAGCGTTATTTAGCATGCGCAGATCTCAGTGGTATATTTCTCAATTAAAGTCTCTTATATTTTCAACGGTCGCCTGTAACGCGACACCGGCGCGTCACCTATGGTATGTAAATTATATTACACCCTTCCCTCGCAACGTGAGTTTGGGCCGCCTGTGGTTTAAGTTGGTTTTTGATCAGTTGGATTTAGTGAGTGCTAAATTTCGGCCTTGTTCATAAATAATCGCTGAAACTGAGAAGATCAGTTATTAGTAACCATCATTTTGATGTAGCAACGGATGCAATACGCGTCATTTATCACCCCTCTGTCAATTATTATTGGATTTGGAGATTACCATTGTAAGGTGATTTATTTCAACGTTAGTGAGCTATAAAACTAGAAAATATTGTAGACAGAGACCATTTAGCGAAAATCAGTATAAACGGCTGGAAAATGGTTCATTGGTTCATATTATTTTTGTATCAGAAATCTTACTCGTTCGCTGCGCTCACTCGTTCGATTTCTGATACGTCAACAACTCGTGCGTAAATACCGTACGCCAGCACTTTCCATGAAGTATTCTCTACATACTCAGAAGTTTTCAGAAGTACATACAAACATATTACAAAGCTAAGTTGAAAATTAAATATAAATGACATTGGAATATTGATAACCTAATCTCTATTACCGTATGCAGATGATTATTATTGTAATTCTGTGATAGCAAAAAATGGACGAAAATATATCATGTTAATTACTGAGTAATTTGCCAAGCAGCTTTTTTTCGCAGTGCAAGCTTTAAAAGTGCTAACGTTTTTGCAAATTTTCAGCCTTTGGTAATATTATAATAAAATGAACGTTGACCAGTGGTTGTTTTTTCAATGTGCGGAATATCCAGTATCTGAAAACTCCTAGTTTGGCGTTGACTACATCGTTTTACAAACATATCTGCTAAGTACCTTGGGGCCATACCGATTATACATTTGAAGACCAGGATAACTTTCTAAGATATAGCTGTTTTCTTATAGGTGACTACTTAAGTTCTTTAAATATAGGATTACAGGATCGATAGAGTTAATGGTATATTGAATGTGTGCGGTGGCCAAAGTAGCATTTGCTTTCGAGTTGGCCACCACCTACTTCAGATAAACAAAAGATACATTGAGCTTAATTATCGGGGAAGGAAACTTGAAAATCAGTAAAGTTGGATGTATCGCCTTTCAACTTGGTAAGTTACCTTATTTTAAAGCGATCTTTCTTGCAGTGGTGTCAATGGACATTCGTTTACTGCTCTTTTTTAAAAGCTAGAAAAATATATAGTTTGTTCGTTGTTTTTAGGTAAATATAGTGAAAAAACAAAATGCCTCGCATCTAACTGAGGGTGTGTCCATCCTCGATGTAAAGAAGGCTCGTTTATCTTAAAAGTAACTTCATATTCCTCCCCCACCCTCCATCAGAGAAATGGAAATTTCTATCATCGCTGGCATACTGAAACGAGACTTTGCCGCGAATTAACGAGTCTGCTATTGGAATCAATAGAAATCGACAATGAGCAATCTAGTTTCGAAAGTTTCTCACTGGAAAATGTTGACCTAATTGACATCTCACCTGCATTTCCATGTATTCTTGCGAAGTTCTTGCAAAGCCATAATGCCGAAAGCGAGAGAACATTGAGTCGAAAGAGTTGCAGTTTATTCATTGTGTTGGTGCCAAGCAGAATTTAACCAATCTGTTTGAATGTACAGTTTTTAAATTCGATCGAAGTGAGATCTAATATTGCTTTCAAAATGCATGTTCGGTCCATTATTACACTGAAATAGAATACTTCTTTTCAATAATTTATCCCCGTGGAAATTACACCTAGCCATCGCCTAAGCAGTAACTTCATGTTATGAAGGCATAAATTTGAAAACTTGTGCAATAGAATAGTCTTTTTTTGTTGCAATATACCTAGGCTGAAAAGGTACCAAATTTATTAGAAAATTTATTCAACAATACCTTAATGTGAATATTTTGCCAACCTGCTTTTCTGCATCTTTAAATCTACGATTGTGAAGAGGATTCAAGCTCGGATGACTTAGTTTGTTTATTTGCTGTTGTTTTCATACGCTTCAATTACTGGTTAAGTATGCCTCTTTTTTTACTTTAAAGTACTACTAAAGGAGAGAACTGCAATGTAAGCTCCGTTTTTTATAGGGTTACTCAATATTTCTAAGCCATTGCTAGAACCGTTTGCCACCTGTTACTGCATCAACATCATATTGCTATTGACATAAAGAAGTGAGGTTGTTAGTGAAAGTAGAATATATTATCTATGGCCATTAGGGGAAGAAATCAGGGGAGATCTACAGTTGCTTAAAAGATGCCTGGCCTGCTAGTTGTAATGTTACGAGTTTAAAAATATTTCCGCTATGCTCATGTATATCTATGATATTGCTAAGTAGCCTAAATTTGTGTTTTTTTGTGTTTTGTCAACTGGAGCTAATATAGACTCCTATGACTGTACACTTAAAATGTGCAAGCATGCACGCTCAGTACTGTGGTAAGAGTTATCACCTTTAGTTACTTTCGTCTTTTAATTCTCCTTTATAGGACTGTTTTAAATAGTTTTCTTTTATTGCTTAGAAACAGCACCACACAGCTAGTTTGCAAAGAAAAATAGTGAGGTAGTTTGCTATGGACATTTCGTGATAAACGACACGAGTTCTAGCTGTTTTTGAGCTAAGTACAGAAGTTAAATGTTTAACTGAAATGTATTTGAGAACTCAAACTGGGGTTAAAAAACTCTTTTGACGTAAAAACACTATTAATGGAAATCTAAAATTTTACTGAAATATAAAATAGCGGTCAATATGGCAACTACTTTATTTCTGTCACTATAGTCCTCGGTAGCGGCTTGAAATGCATTGTTTTTTTTTATCATCTCCTGAAGTCCGTCGAAGCCTTTCTATTTAATTTGGCCAACTTCTAACGTTAGCAAGAACTTGAAACTAACAATTAATTTTGTCATGTCGAGCGACCACTCCTCACTTAGCCTGCATCGAAAGCATGTTCTTTGGGTGTGTGAATCCATCCACCCATAAACGCCACGTTGAATAAAGAGGCCATGAGTAAGCCGAGTACAAGGTGGCAATTTAAAAAAAAAAACGTCAACTGATCTTTACGGAAGGAAGAGTGACAGAACAAATGAAGAAAGAAAGCAAAAAAACTAAAATGACGAATTATATATTTTGCTCTGCAAAACAAACCTTCATAAGGAAAATGAAGAGCAAATTTAATATAATTCACCATTTTATTTCCGTTTTCTTTCTTTATTTTTTCTATCACTCTACCTGCCCGTTAGGACCAGTCTACTTTTCCTATTTTAATATTTGGTTTAGAAGACTTTATTGATCCAGGTGTACTAAAGATCTGCCCCACCCTCACTGGCTTGTCGTTGTGGATTTGCATTCAGAAGTGTTTTTGAAAGGTGCCAATGCCTATTCCCAGGCTCGTTATTTCCACTTTGCCCAGTTTTCATTTCAGGCCGTTCCCAACTTGACCTCAATTGCATTCGTACAAACTATTCTAGATGGCATCAAATGACCTATTATTAGCCGATCAGTTTGTCTCGGTATAAAATTTATGTGGGTGTAGACGTCTATTTGATACTTCGCAAAGATAGTTGATATTATTTCTTTTCGATTATATACCTCTTCCAATATAATTCTGGAGCGCCCGTGAGAAGATCTCATCAGGAACAATCGAGGAGAAAACGAGGAAAGAATAATCAAGTTATTACAGAACTGTCATTTTAACTGATCTCATTGCTTAACTAGCACTCCAGGTGCAAATGAACCCAGTCTTTTTTTGTTATATTCTTTGAGTTGTTAATTCTCTCGAGGGGTCTTGTTGCTTCTGTTTGTTTAGTTTTGTTCAGAACAATATTCTGAGTTGTTTGTTACCGCCGTGTATTGTTGAAAAAAAGAGGCGGAAAGGACTGACAAAAAAAATTAAAAGAAAAAACCAAAGAAATATCCATAATATTACTGACGGTAGCATCAGTTCTCTTTTCAAGTGTTAGCAGGTAATCAAATGTTTACAATAGAGGAACCGGCAAAATACAAGCT